ATTATCTAGGTGCAGCCTATATACTAGATTTTAGAGAAAATCTATTAAGTAGTTCTCTAGATCTAGATCCCTGTCAATCGCGATTTTTGGTGAGATTTTGACTGGCCCACATACTGGGGTGGCCCGCTTACTGGTGAAACACGTTAATATGTATTAATCTTATTTAGTTAAGTAACTAATAAGAAAGTATAATTTATATTAACTATAATAAGAGTAATAATAAAATCTATATATTCTTATATTCTTATTACTTCTAGTCTTAATATCTATAGTATCTATAAAATAGTTAATATCTTATAGATATTCAAGATATTCTAGTATCTCTAGAAACTATAATATCTACTCTCTTAGTAAGATATTACCTCTTAGTAAGATATTAGTTACGTAATCTTCGCTCTACGATAATTATTCTACCTATTAGAATTCTTAGTAGTTTCCTATTATTCGTCATCAGACCCAGGGAGAGGATTCTTCCTGTTGTTACTTGTAACACTAAGCACCCAGATTCTATTAGAGATTAGCGAAATAGCTTAGATCTCCCACAAGTTATACTAGAGTAAGAAATTCATATTCTTTTATTACTCTCTTTCTATAATACTCCCCTCTAATAAGATAAAATAATATATTCTATTTTATCTATAAATTACTATACTTAAAATTTAGATATAGATAATAAAGGTAGAGTTAATGTAGAGTAGGGGGCTAGTAAGGTATTGTGAAAGGGTGGATATTTTATATTAGCTGACCTGTTGCACGCACTAACTACACACAGTTTTAGAGTTTCATTTACACCATTCGACAATATTCTGCTAACCCAACTAACGATATAACTGCCCCCAACCTAAAGTACCTCGACTAAAAAAATTTGGTCATTGCTTATATATTGAAGGATCACCCCGCATCATACGATAATCTGGTTCAGGTTATCCTTGGCAATGATTCGGTGCGAGCTGTGTGATTTAGTCGCGAAAGCGATTGAAAGGGCCACAGAAGATCATGAGGAGCTTGTGTGGGAGTTTGCCCAAGTGGAACAAAACTACGAGTGTGCTACGTGTCAAAGAATTGCAAAGCGTTTCAAGAAGGAGGCACCAAGAATCGATTTGCACGATAAGCTAGGGTATGTGAAACCCGGGAATGATTACTGGATGGTGCGCCTCCGGGATCGCCACGATGATCACTCCTGGGGAAAACCTTTCATTCATGTTGAAATGGAAGCCTATTTAAGCGCTTCAAACGAACTTGGATTCTCTCCGCTTGAGGACAACATCGATATTGCGGGTATCAAGAGATGGATTGACCTATGCGATCGCGATCACACCGGGAAGTGCCACACTATCACAGACCCTATGGATAAGATGCCACAAGCCACAGGATTATTATTCATAGACGTCGAGAAGCTTTGTCTGGTAAAGCAGCCTAAGGATGCATACATGGATCGATACGTTGCCTTGAGTTACGTTTGGGGTACCGCAAAGAATCCTTTTCAAACATTGAAAGCGAATTTTGATTTGTTAAGCAAGACAAATGCATTCAGATTACCCGAAATCGATTGCCGAATTCCCAATACCATCAAGGATAGTATTCTTCTCGTCCGTACTTTAGGTATTCGGTACTTGTGGGTCGATCGGTTTTGTATAGTACAGGACGATGAAATTGCCAAACCGCATCAACTCAATTCGATGGCCTTAATATATTCCAATGCGTACTTCACCGTCGCGGCCACCGAGGGGGCAGACAGTGATTATGGGCTTCAGGGACTTGGAAAGAAACGCCTGAGAACACCACCTTTTGAAGTCTTCGAGTTCGGCCCCAGTTGTCGCATGGTTGCAACTTCACCAGTAAAGAAAATCGCTAACGAAGTCTATCATACCCGAGGCTGGACGTTCCAGGAATGGACCTTTTCTTCACGTATGATTGTATTTCATGAACAAACTGTGACATGGATATGTCAGAAATACAAACAGCAGGAGAATGGACACACCCCAAACCAATTGCCGGAAAGATTGCCCTTCACTTTGTGGACAAAGCAGCCCGATCCGATATATTACTGTCTTCAGGTAGAACAGTATAGCAGAAGGAGTCTGTCTAATTCAGCAGACGTCTTAGCAGCATTCAATGCATTCACCACAGCGCAAAGTCGAGCCATGAAAGGTGGGATGCTACATGGCCTTCCAGAACTCTTCTTCAATAACATGCTATGCTGGCACCACGACATAGACTCGCGACACCAAAGACGGGTCGATTCCAAACGCAATGTTCTGAAGCAGTTTCCTTCCTGGTCATGGGTTGGCTGGTTCGGTCCAATGGATATGTGTCTCGCCAGTGAAGCCAGCGGTATCAGAATGCGTGCCTCCCCTGGCCGTCTCGCATACCCTTGCATCACAGAATTTTACAAGATCCGCACCAACATGCAATCCGAAGAGCGTGAACTTATTCGCGATCTGCACTACTACGAGTCTCGCGGTATAGAATCAACGGTCCTAAGCGAAAAGTCATTATCTCAAGAAGCTGAAGACGAAGAGAATTCCACATTGAGGCTCAATCATATTTACTCCACCGTCATCGAATTTCGTACTCGCCGGCTCATCGCACGTCTAGCTGAGTATGACTGCAATGGGTTCAGCAATGATACGGCTTTTATACTAGGACCTGAGGGCCACATAATCGGTGCTCTAGACCTCGGCCTATCCTTCTACTCACTCGACCTACCCCAAAACGATGTCGAACTTATTTGCATTAGTGTTAGCGCGCCTGTGTGCTCGAAGCATGCCCATGTTCGAAATCTCACTAGCCAGTATATCGATATCGACAGTTGCCCCAGAGAGTGTTTTGCGGATTTGGAACACTACTATAATGGAATTTACGAGCCAGCATCGGATTGGCAGTTTAGGTGTTATGATGTGTTGTGGATCGAGTGGGACAACGGCATTGCATACCGAAAGGCGATAGGGCAGATTTGGAAAGAAGACTGGGAAGCTGCATATACTGAGGAGGTGGATATCCGACTTGGATAACGCGGCGAACTGTCAAAAATACGCATGTTGAATAGCTTGCAGACAGCAGACGAATCGATTGCTCTTAAGCTGTTCTAGAGATGCGGCACATTCAAACTGGCTAGTAAGAGGTTCATGATACTGAGCAGTCCCTCGCCCAAAATCAGACCACTTGCAAGTACAATAATCGGAGTTTCGCTTCTGCCCTTCCAGCGTCGCCACCAAAGACTTATCAGACCCCCGATTGTGCGTGCCAGTGTGAATGAAGGCGTGTTGTACATGCCTGAACCTTGATGTTAGCGAAGCCGAACATATGACAAAAAAGCAGAGAAAGAGAACTTACCAACGGCAACAGCAATTCCGCCAGGCACAAAGTCGATCCACCATCCACTCAAGCCGCTCCGCTTTCGAGCGTTGCCCCAGACCCTTATCACCGTACTGACAGCAAAGATGACAGCCGCTCCACTCGCCCACTCCTTAACCATGGGCGGCAGACCCTTCCCCGTCACCAATCGCGCGGTAAAGACCCACACATAGCCCGTCGGCACCTCGAACAACCCACCAGGGATAGTATACACATTCGTATACAACTTGTACACAACCGCCGACACCACTGCTCCAACCGCCGACCCGATCATCTGACCCCAAAACTGTGCGTTTGGTGCCGCTCCCAGTATATGCCCGCACTTGAGATCCTGCAGCAGATCTCCTGCTTGTAGCGCTGCAGACTCGGACACTGCGCCAGCTACAAGATTGATAATGACAGCGTTCTTGGCACCTGGCCCTGTTGTCGGTGTGACGAACGCAAAGACGAGCTGCGTGAGCTTGGAAATGCCGGAGACGGGATTGAGATCTGTTTCGCCTAGTGCACGGACACCCATTATGGAAAGGAAGAGCGCGAGGACCAAGGAAAGAAGCGTTAGGCGGAACGGAATGAGACCGGGGAATGTCAGGTGGACGGCGATGACACAGAGGACTAGCGAGACAACGAGTCCGATCATGGTAGTGCGGTTCGATACGAGATGCTCGGGCGGCGCATCTGGGTCCGAATCTGCCGCGAAGTGTTTTTTGATAGGTATCAAGGGATCCTCTGCCGTCCCATCGCCAACTTGCGTGTATCCTTGCCTGGGCGTAATATTGAATGTGAGAATCTCCTTCCAGGTATGCGAATGAAAAATTTCTTTAGCAGTTGGATAGTATGTTGTTGAAAACGTGACAAGTGGTCGGAGAAGCAGCCAACCCAAGCTGACAAGGGAGTCTGCCAGCATTATAGCAAGCGATATCCACACGATCCACCCCTTGGAGCCGTTTGTCCAGTCAGAAACAGGTCCTGGAGCCCATCCCTCGTGTTTTGCAAGTGGCGAAAGGACACCCCAGCCGATGATGGCACCTAGAAGCATATGCAGTGTCGTAGCAGGCCCCATGATGATGCCCTGTCCAACATAAGCCGGTGAAGGGTTCAATGTCCAAAGCCAATTTTGCGCTAGGGGAAGGCCAAAAACGGGTATCTCGTGCAGTTGCGGGATGAAGTAGGACACAACGGTGAATAAGGCAGATCCAGCAAACGAGATCAACAGCAACCTGATCTTGGATTTCCAGTCTCCGTCATCTTCATCCTCTTCGGGCCCCTGTCCTGTGGTTTTCGGGTTGTCGTCCAAAGATGATCTTAGATCATGCTCTTCTCGTTGTGCACTAGATCCTTGCAAAAGTCCCTGAGATGCTTGTTCGTCATCAGAAAGCTCTTGCTCGTGATTTACCAAATCTTTTGACTCCCTGTCCCCGTGAAGCACCCTGATAAGCAGTGCAGTAGCAGTCCCACTCGGAAATTTGAGCTTCTCCCTAATAATCACTTCTTTACGGAGCGGAACCGCAAAAACCACACCAAAGAAGCAGACTCCGACAGCCCAGACAATCAGCTTCCAAAGACTAATGTCCAGCGGCCCGTTCTCTTCTGGTTTCAATAGATAATTTAATGCCGGAATGACACCCACGAATCCGCATCCTAGAGGCATGGTACCGACCGATCCCGCGACTGACTGAATCAAGACATTCTCAACTGGTGTAAATGGTAACTTCAGCGTCTTTGCAACAACCTTGAAATACGCAAACCCAATTAGTGCCGAAGGCATGGCCATGCCGCTCACCCAGCCCGTCTGCAACCCAAAATACATGTTAGAGAAGCAAATGACAATTCCAATCGCCAAGCCAACCAAAACACCACGGAGCGTAAAGTTCTGTGGTTGCGATGCCCGCTCAGCCAAATAACTGCGAGTTCCCGTTCTGCTACGTCTCAACGACGCATGTTCCATCTCTTCACCATCTCCAGCCCTTTCATTCTGCAGTTCCGTGTAGCCTCGATCCGGTGCCATACTCGCGATATCCTGAAGTTGGATTGACTCAGCCAGCGCGACCGCTGAGGGGAGTAGTTAGTTAATAAAGCAAAGAAAGGTGGATTGGGAGAGGGGGCGGAAGACGATCCACCTGATAGGAAGATTACGGGATCATCTTGTCATTGGTAATGGCGTGCTCGGTGCATGTGCACGGGATGATGCAAAGTTCCCGGTTCGACCTAACTAGCCTTAGACGATCAGCCACGTGACGGGGACGCCGGATCTTAGAACGTTGCTTATCTCCGATTTGTCAGATGCCAGACGTCGCCAATCAAACACCAGGCTGGGGGAACATCGTGAACTGCCCCCCCCCCCCCGGCTCTGGAGCGCGTCGCGGCCATACAACTCTAACCCCAGCTCGACTTTCCTTTGGTCTCGATACACTCCATATTGGCGATGAAGTTGTCTACGATACTTCTACCATTGCTGGCGGCGCCCTTTGCCGCCAGCGAACACACTTCCAACTGGGCGGTCCTAGTATCGACCTCGCGCTTCTGGTTCAACTACCGCCACTTGGCCAATGTCCTGTCTCTCTACCGTACAGTAAAGCGACTTGGAATCCCCGACTCACAAATTATTCTCATGCTCCCCGATGACATGGCATGCAACCCGCGCAACGCCTTCCCCGGAACCGTGTATAACAACGCAGACCGCGCGCTCGATCTCTACGGCGACAACATCGAGGTGGACTACAGGGGCTATGAAGTCACAGTCGAGAATTTCATTCGCCTCATGACAGATCGTGTTGGCGAGGACATGCCCCGCAGCAAGCGACTAATGACCGACGAGCGAAGCAACATCCTTGTCTACATGACCGGCCACGGGGGGAATGAATTCCTTAAATTCCAAGATGCAGAAGAAATCAGCGCCTTCGATCTCGCCGATGCCTTTGGCCAGATGTGGGAGAAGAAACGGTAGGCCCCGCCTCCCATATTTCAAACAGCATACATACAAATACTAAATCCATGCCCCACAAACCAGCTACCACGAGATCCTCTTCATGATCGACACCTGCCAGGCCAACACCATGTACTCGAAATTCTACTCCCCCAACATCCTCGCAACGGGCTCCTCAGAAATCGACCAATCCTCCTACTCGCACCACGCCGACAACGACGTCGGCGTCGCAGTCATCGACCGCTACACCTACTACAACCTCGAGTTCCTCGAAACAAAAGTCAAAGACCCCACCAGCAAACTCACAATGGGCGAGCTCTTTGACAGCTATGATGAGGAAAAGATCCATAGTCGCCCCGGGATTCGGTATGATCTTTTTGCGGGTGGCGAGCAGGAAGCGAGGAATAGGAAGGTTATGGATTTTTTTGGAAATGTGCAGAATGTTGAAGTGGAAGGCAGGAATGAGACGGGTTGGGTAAGGGAGGCGGGAAGCGGTAGTGCGACCAAGCTGGCTAAGGCGCATGAGCAGAGTGTGGTGGAGAATGCAAGTTTGCAGCAGCCCGTAGTGGAGAGTGTGCGGAGAGAAGGCGCGTGGAAAGTGGATGAGGAGCAAGGATGGAATAAGCAGGCGTATGGCGCGGCGGCTTTGGCTGGCTGTGCGGGTATATGGCTTGCTGGCAGTTGGTTGGAGTCCTTGTAGAAGTGTACCTGTTGTGTTTCAAGCAGCTATTTCCTTGTTATGCTTACCCAACGAAAGAGAAAAGGCTAGGACAAATATCAGCAGTGTGTAGGTAGGTACTCTCAGCTTATAGTTCCGGCGGTGGTTAAATGATACCCTTTATTTTAGAACATGTTCATCTTCGCCATTGTTCACGAAGGGAGTTATTTGAAAAAAAAAGCACCCCGATTGCTATGTTTCCGATTGCTACTAGTGAGGTATCATATACTAATCCCATCCGCCCTATACACCTTGATTTCCTGAGACGCCTTTTCGAAGATCGAGTGAAAAAAAAGTAACGAGAAAAAGGTGAAAGCCACGTAGAGTGTAGCTCGAGGCGCCGTAATCACTGTACCAGGTTTTTCCTCTCATAGAAGCCTAGTCATGACTCTATAGTTTTGTTACTGCTATTCCTCTAACAGCTGCACTTAGTATGGGTTAGCCGTACCCGAACCACCCGATGCCGTCTCATTGAGACCCGGAGGGATAGTCCAACCATGGACATTGCAAGCACGCTTGTACGCTTCAACTGCCTCGCCAACATAGTAATCTGACGGGCCACCTGGCGCCAAACGAGCTGGCTTTGGGTCCACACTACAAATGGCCATTCGGACCTGAAGGAGAACCGATTCGATAGAGGAAACAGCGCTCCAGCCGTCGTTGGTCAGAAGCTCCATGCACATGGCACCGCCAGCAGTGACATGACCACCTCCGCCCTGATTGAAGCCAAGGAAGCGAGGGCGGATGACCCGGACGAACGGTGGGCTCATGGGATGATCCTTGCCAAAGCGCAACTCCAGAACAATGCTCTTGATGCCCCTTTTCTTCATATCCTGCGCTAGTGGTAACTTGGGGTCGAATGAATGAAGCTCCACAATCCATTGGTAGATGTTATCAATCTTGTCTTCGTCAATGTGCCATCCTAGTTCATGAAGCGGCTCCCTGTTCTGAATAGAGATGATGTCTCTAAAGTCCTTCATCAGGCGCTTGGTGGCAGACGTAGTCGCCCACACTGGCGTCGCAATCATGGGCAGTCTTGAGTAATCCAGAGTGCCGGGGACGTAGTCGGTAAGAGGCTTCTGTGGTACCTTCTGGGTTGATTTGCCGAAGATTTTTGATGAGAACGATGAAATGGCTGTCATCTTGGATTTTCCTTTGCCATCTATGATCGAGTTCGGTGTAGGGATAGACTCCTCATCGTACTGTGGCTTGAAGCCGTCATTTTCATGTTCATCTTCGTCGAAAATAACCAGATCCTCTTCGAGAGTTGCAACGCTATCTGTGTCGTCATCCTCGCAACCAACCTCTACAGTATCAAACCGGGACTTCCCAGAAGCCTTCTGCCTCTTGGATAGTCCATACACTGTCGGCTTGTACCGCCGAGATGCAGCAATAGCGTGAATTGGAATAATGAGCGGTCCATCAACGCCAAGAGGAGTTCGACTTGGATCTTGTTCAACAAACTCGAGTGGTTTTGAGACTGGATTAGGTGCAGCAGCACTGGAGATATCGGCACGTTTCCTTACAAAGAGATAGCGAGTCTGGATCCAGTCGAGTTGCGCGACGACCAGATGTGGGTTCTGGCTGACGTACTCCGCTGGCGCATTTACGATTTCGTTCAGAGCCAAGGCCTGCTGGATTTTGAGCTCGCTCATCGGCCACGAAGCACCTATCTGCATGTTGGAGTATCCTAAACTTGTATTCACGTTAGGGGCATGATAGACCCCATGCCCAAAGGCTCGCCCATGGTGCGTCTCCTTGAAATGAAGACCTTCTCGAATGATGCTATGCCAGTTATGGAGCGGACTGCCATGCCAGGCAAAAAGAGTAGGGTATTTAAGATGCAGCCGCTCTTTGGTTTGCCGTACTGCCTCAATGAAGCGGCGTTCCTTGTCAGGCGCACCCATTGCGAAACGGAATTGTGCCCAGCCACCCATTCCATAGAGTCGCCCTTCAGCTTTGCGGCCGCTCGGAGAATCACCCTCATCCACCTGCAGAATACAAGCCCGGTTTGAGGCAATAATCCAACGTAATATTCCAAGGGCAGCAGAGGGCAGGCGATCAACCCAAGAACTTAGAGGGGACTCTGATTTGCGCAACAGATATTTCCTCATCTCCTCAACTGGTGGAAGCACATGCAAGAGTGACACTATCGTCTCTTGCTTCTCGTGATCTTTCAGATCATCAAAGTTGTGATCGTAGAGATAGAAACTGGCAGATCGAAAGTGATTCCTCTGGTCCAGTTTTGAGTGTATCATATTGCTCTGCTGAGGGGCCTGGTCTCTATATGATGGCAACGTATATGGGTGTATGTAATCGTTGTTCGGGGCGTCAACCATCGCTGCAACGACAGGCTTGGATACCTTCACTGATGGATAAAGTGAAGTGTCAATCACACGACAGTGTATGACTCTATCGATTTCCTCATCCGCCCGAATGACAACCCAAGAGCCAGGCGTCACGGGGCAAGGCGCCTTGGAGTTTTCGAAAAGCATCTCTAGATTGCCCTCATTGAACCGCATACTCATTGCAGCTGCTGGCCGAGTATCATACACAGAACGCGTTTGCTGGGTTGCAACATGGTACGGTACACCTTGAAGGCTTCCTTGTTGGTTAGACACGGGAGGTGGAACAGCCAAGCTGAGACCAGTAGGAAATTCCTTTAGGCTTCCAGCGCGCGCACTGGAATAGCAAAAGCTGACTAGTAAATCCACGACCTTGGGCTGAGAGGTTATTTCGTGCTCTATGCTTGGACCAAATCCCAGTGACATATACTGATACAGACACAGCGGATTGTCGCAGACGTAGGGTTTGATCGCTTGTAGGTCGTCCGACATCTTGCTAAAACAAATCAAGCAAAACTCGGTACACCGCACGAAATGCCTTAGCACAAACTGCATGCTGACCAGAGGTAGGGAATGTGGCTGGCCTACTGAAGAGGTAATGTGGTCGGCGGTGACGATCTTGGGCCAGGTAGTGCTGGCATGCTCTTCCTCGTAGTACTTATCATGCGCGGCGTCATGCTCTCCGTATAATGAATTTAGGAGCACATCGTTGTAGAACAGTTCAGCGCCTTGCCACGGCATTCCTCCATAGCGGTATTTCAAGAGCATGGAGAATCGTTGCTCAAATAGCTCATTTAAGGGCCTGGAAACAAAGGAGTTACGAAAGCCGCTCGACTGCGCAGGCAAGGTATTTTGAGATTCGCCCTGCTGGGAATCCTCTCGCTCGTTCTCGTTCTCTTTGTTGGCGGCAGCAAACGCTGCAACCGCCTCTTGTATAGTCGGCTTGTAGGTTGTCGATACACCGATACGGACTCCAAAGTTGCGGCGAGCTTGGTGGGCGTCATAGGACCGGTAGTCATCCATGCTCTTATATCCTAACGGGTAGTGACATATTGCGACCAGGTATTCCGAAGGCTCAACCTGCCATGCCTTCATAGCTTCTTCTGAGATGCCAAGCTTGGATATACGAATGGCTAAGGATACATAACATCCCAGGCCCGTCATGAGACCTCCCAGATGTCCTACCTTGAAGCCCTCGCTCTTGGCGACTAGAAGGTCATTCCGAATACGATGTCTGAATGCAGATGTGGTCGCTACAGAAGGCTCACCCAATCCTGGAGTGTGTGTGATGCGAGGCTTAGGTAGGAGGTCTTCGTCACCAGGAAAGTAGTCTTCTTCATCTTCGTCTTCGTCTTCGTCTTCGTCCTCGTCGCCCTCAAAATCATCAAACTCTTGCGAGCCAACCATCTGGCTATCACCGTCGCCATCAGTTGATTCAAGTCTGTTGGACACAAGCTCGAGAATCTGAGGTATCGTCTTGGCCGTAGCGGCATCGGTGATATCATTGAGCGCGGCAGCAACGCCTGCGGAGGCGTTATCCCCTACGAAGATCATGCAGGTGTGGCTCGAGGGATATTCGGAGACATCTGTGATGAGAGCGGAGACGTTGAGCGGCTGACCATCGGCCATACAAGTAAAGGTGAACTCGCCATCGTCAGCGCCTGGTCGAACATCCGAGATGCCAGCAGCTAGGAGGAGGCCACCGGCAGCCTTCTGGAGGTCGCCGTGAAACTGCCTACGTGGCATCTCAAATTGAGACAGAAGGAAAGATCAAGAAGAGCGGTTGTGGGAGGTTGTAGCACAGTGCCGTGCCGCTTGTCTGGTAGCGACTGCCAGACGCCGGTGTTTGGTGGGTTGCGCAGGTTTCAAGTGGACCTGTAGAGATATACAAGCGCAGCCTGCAACACGCACAAGTGAGGGCGAGTTGGCTTTATGTAGGTGACGTCAAAGCGCCCTGGTTGTGCCGGCAAGCAAACACTGGAGGAGGTGGACTGGGCAATCACGAGCGAAATTAGCACTACTGGGTAACTTGAGAAGACGATGACCAATCCTACGATTGCAGCACAACAGTCTTTGATTTGGCCTTGTTGTTTTGTGAGAGGTTATAAAGAGGAAGTAGAGGCGAAGCAGACGTCACAAAAGGCTGGCCAACGTCGCGGTAGCGAGAGAATTACGAGGGCAAGGAAAGAGGAAGGTGATGGCGAAGGAGGAGGAGGAGGATGAGGAGCGGGCACAAAACAAAGACTAACTGTTCACCTCTTGCAGATAAACATGGCCTACTAGGGACTTGGCAAGGCTCTATGGCGGTGCTGCAGAGCTGCCTGGCAGACGGTCAACGAGAAGGGCAATGGTCCAAGGGTTGGGGGGGCTCTGATGCCTGGAGATGTGGAGCCTGTGGCTGAGGCCCCCGCAGTCTGGCGTGGAGCTCTTCTACTCACGATTGCCTACTCACCGTTCCTCGCCATTTGTCTGGTCATTGGCCAAACACCAATTGCCATGATCGTGAGAGGCACTTGAATGATATGCACGAGAGAAAGGCAAGTCTCTTGATAAAGACTGGGATGCCGTCATCATGGAGCTTGAAATAGCGCGCCCCTCCCCCACTTTTTTAGGTGCGGGAGCGAAGCTCCCTACTCCATGAGCCAAGGACAAGCAAGGGTTCCGAGCGTTCGGCACTGCTTCCAGCCCTATCCTAGGACATCTGCAACACCTTCCCTCCCCATCTCAGCGTCCACCATGGCTGTGTCCCAGGAAAAGCCGGGAACGGCAGTGGCCAGGTCTACACATGTATCCGACCCCACGCTTGATCCATTCCTCCAATCGCAGTTTGACCCCGCCGACTACCTCAATGCCACGCTCCCCTCGCTGTCGTTAAGCTCAAGATCAAAGACGGGCAATGCCGCCTCGTTGGCCGACCTCTCCTCTCAGACCCAAGACCTCCTCTCGCAGCTCAATGCACATACTACTCGGCTGTCTGCCATACTCACGCAGCTGACAGATGACATACTGCGGACTGGTGGGCGGCTGGCTTATGAGGTCGAAGTATTGCGCGGAGAGGCAGTCGGCCTTACAGAGACCCTAACGGACGGTCTAAAGAACGACGTTGAGAAATTTCTACCACGCGGACTCACTATGAAAGCAGAACCTGTACAAGGAGAACCTGGAAGCCCTGCGCCAGCACAAACAGAAGACTCCAGCGAAGTCCTGCAGGCGCCAGTAGAACCCGAAGACACCACGCCCGAATACATATCCGACCTCCGCACCCTGACCACGGTCCGCTCACGCCTTGAAAATGTCATCAAGGTCTTCGGAGAGGCCATGCACTGGACTATCCCTCCCAGTGAGGTATCCCTGGGAGCCTCCCTAATCAGCGTCTCTGCCCCCGAGCCCGGCACCGACAGCGCCTCCCGCGAGCAAAAAGGCAAAGAATTTGCCGCCTCGCTCCGCTCCGAGATTGCCGATCTCATCACAGGCGATCCAGAAGGTGGCATGCACAAGGCCGAGGTGCGCATACAAGCGCTGAAAGACCTCGCTCAGGTATGGAAGGGCACAGCTGAAGAAAAGGCAAGAACAAAGTTCATCGATGGCCTGGTGAAACTGGCAGAGGACAAGCAGCGAGAGTTGGATAGGGAAAGAGACAAGAACAAGGACCGAGGCCAGCAGAAGCCAGTTCGTAGCTCTAGTGTCTCAAGGTCACAGCCACAGCCACAGCATGCGCAGCAAAGAACCGGTGGCTTCCTAGAAAACCTGCAAAGAATACGAGGCTTTGTGGAATAAACCATGCTTTACTCAATACATGTTCATTGCGAGGCATATCACGTGATCACGCGTTGCCGTGCCATCGACTATCAACACGTCTCTTCACCTGCCCCTCTCTTTCTCTCAATGGCACCTCGCAATGGCTCAAATATGGACATCATTCATCTTCGTCCGTCATTGTCCTATCCTGAACATAAACAAACACTGTCCTTGGGCTTATACGAACAGTAAACTTAGATGCTTCGTCTGTCCCAGCTATTCCTAGGCTCCGACGGTTGCCCCGCACCAGGGGTGGATGCGGCGCCCCAGATAAGAGAACAAAAAAACAGTAAGCAGCCGTGGAATTAAACGTATGCAAGTCGCAACATGCCCAAAACGCCCATCCTGATATCGGGGTATCTCAATGACCAAACTTCCATGTACTCCAATCCTAACCAAATGCCCATCAAATTTAGATTGTGGGGATGCCCTCGAGGACAGCCATGGCACGTTGACCCTCGGCCTCGAATGCGAGTATCTGTTGTTCGCAGGCCATGCGGAGTTTTTCTTCGCCCCTCTTCGCGTTGTGCAAAACCCACTGTTCAATCGTCATGCGCTTCTCTTCGTCCGTCAGGCTAGCCATAACGTATTCGTACAGTTCTTCAGGCGTCATGTCTGCCGTCTGAACGTTGTCCAGACCAGAATCAGCAAGGATTTCGCTGAGATAACCGTGGGCCTCTTCTTGGGATGTAATTACAGCATCAACATCAGCAGGTTTCCAGCTGATAGGCTCTGGTATGTCATCTGCTTCACTCATCATAGGCGGCGTCCTCTTGGGTGTCCCAACTGCTAGGTCCGCCGGGAGGCTCGACATGTCAAAGTCATCCATAGCAGTGTCCCTGATTCCTGTCGGCGTTTTCTTAGGCGTTCCCACAGGAAGATCACTAGGGAAGCTTTCAATGCTCGAGGATCGCACACGTTTCAGAACAGGCTGGATGACTTCAGAGTACTCGGTTTCCTCAACTGCCTCGCTCGTTCGCTTCTTGCCACGTGTGGCTCTCTTGCTTGCTGTAGATGCAGTTGACGAGCGGGTTGAGGCGCGCTTAGCTTTGGAAGCACGCTTGGCTTTCTTGGGTGCTGGGGCGGGTTTGTAAAGTTCGGAGAGGACGAAGAAGAGACAGTCAGGAGATCTTCGGCGGTGCTCCTGCAAAGGATCGTCGCCGATATCCCATGCATCTAGTGCCAGAGAGCAGTATGGGCAGGTAACGCCATCGGGTGTGTCTGTTGCAGGGTCGTAGAACCAGCCGGCGTCTACCATCTGGTCGACACTGGGGTAGCCAGCTGTAACGTCGAGTGGCCACATATCCCCAAAGGTCGAGCGGCGTGCTGCTACCATGGCTTCCGAGGTCGGATCATCTTCAGTCCTGCCGGGATCGCCCGCACGGAGACGGATGCAGGCGATTGTTGCGAAACCACAGCTTGGGGAATGTGTTGCGTGTTCATATGCAGGAATGTCCGCTTCCTCCCAACCGTCTAGTTGGCACTCGCAGCTGAAGCATTGTACGTTGTCGGGGCTCGTAGATGTGGGCTTCCATACAAAACCAGCATATGCCAAATCCTGTGCCGAGGGTGCTGTAAGGGGCCATGAAGCCTTCGATTTCGCTCCTGCCTTCTTAGATCTGTTGCTTGTACGTCGCCCCTTGCCTGTCGTAGCTAATCCCTCAAAGGTGGCTAGACGCGCGTGGTAAGAAGCCAGCGACGCATCCATAACGTTAGGAGTGATGGTCGTTGTGGAAAGTTTTGAGTGTCGGTTTTGCTTTTTTACTCGGCTGGCTATAGAAGATAAAGATGTGTTTTGTGATATTGAATATTGCGGGTCTCGAATGGTTTGTGCTGGGTGAGAGTAGAGAAAGAAGTCGCGTCTTCAGACGCGGCAGGCCGACCACAAACATCTGATCCGCCAAGACTTGTGGAGCAACAACACGCTTACGTCATCAGTTCGTTCACTTTGCGCGACTTGAGGCATTATCCTCCCAACAAGATGTATCGCCGCCAACCAATATTTCGGATAGCCTGGTGTAGAAGGCCTCTGGCACAGGGCAATCGCCGCTTTCTATCATCCGAAAAGACAGCACCTACGGATACCCCTCATGCGTTCCAATCGCTGCCACCAGACTGGGAAGATGAAGCTCCCTCGTTGTCGGACTTCACAGAGCTCCCGCATAAGGACTTTGGCAAAAATCAGTTAATGCAAACGAATGAAGATTTTAAACGGGCCTTGCGAGGCATACTACGGAAATTCCCCCCCGTCACATATGCCTTTGCCTACGGCTCTGGTGTCTTTCCTCAGTCGGCTGCGACAGCTTCGCGCACAACGCAATCGCCTCATCCGAACCCTCCCGACGCGATATTGAAATGGCAAAAGGGGGGTGGAAAGATGATTGATTTTATTCTGACGCCTCGCTTTTCTCAACACTTCCACTCGCTCAACCTACGCGAACACAGAGATCATTATTCTTTCCTTGGTTCGCTCGGCTCAGGAGTCGTCAGCCATGTACAGGAGAAGTATGGCGCAGGTGCTTACTTTAACCCGTACGTTGTAGTAAACGGAACAATGATCAAATACGCCGTCGTTAACTACGACACACTCCTTCGTGACCTTACCGAGTGGGACACATTATATTTTGCTGGCCGCCTGCACAAGCCCGTTAAAATCCTCCACGAAGAGCCCAATCTCCGCGTCGCGAATCAACGCAATCTTCTCTCTGCCGTTCGATGCGCGCTTCTCTTGCTGCCCGAGAGGTTTACAGAGAAGGAACTTTACTCTACAATTACAGGCTTGAGCTATCAGGGCGACCCGCGCATGCAGTATGGCAGCGAAAATCCCAAGAAGATCGACAACATCGTCACACACCAAATACGAAACTTTCGATACCTATACCACGATCTTATAATGTCACTCCCAAACATCAGGTACGCCGACGAGTCTGTGATTCGAAAGCCGGACTGGATGGAGGACCCGGGGCTGGATCAGAAGATGTCGCAAGACATGGACCCAGAGCGTCGCGCCAGTATGGTCAGGCGACTGCCCAAGAAGTTCCGCGAAAAGGTGTACTTCCAGTACCGCGGCAAGTTTGGCATCTCAGGCCGCGAGTACCAGCAGATGCTGGAGGCAAGGAAGGACGAATCTTCAGGAGGAATCCTGAAGAAACAAGTCGCCGGTGACTTTGACAGGCGAATAGCAGCTGAGAAGGACATCCCACAGATGGTGACCAAGGCCATCAACCAGACCGTCAAGTGGCCATCAACTGTGCAAACCCTCAAAGGACCCTTTACGGCGGGCCTATCAAAATCATGGAGGTACTTGCAAGAAAAGCGGGAAAAGGGGAAAATGAAGTAAGCCCCGAAATCGCAGGCACTCCCAGCCGTTCTTCCGGCATCAATTCAGTTCGAGTATCCACAAAAGCGGAGAGCAAGCGAGCGAGCAAAGCTCTGCTTCTTCTGTAGTCTCGTACTTGATATAATCGCATTAGCCGCCGTCGCAAAGCTCACGGGTCAGGCTTTGTATACGCGAAAATTAGAGTAATGCCGAATATACAATTACCACATCAATATACGGAGCAATACTCAATTCATTAATTACTCTTGTGTGCTGCATACAAACTTCCCGAGTGTCTGTTTGCGCACTACATCCCATGTTGACTGTCTAATGACTCAGCAATGCATATGCCTTCCCACAATGCTCCACTTTTCCCACGTTGGATTTTTGCCATCTGTCAGCAGTCCCAACAGCTTCGGCTCCAATCCGAGTATAACTGAATTATTTTGTAGTTATATTCGATCTCATTTTAGGATTAGTCATCACAACAACCTCAACCACCCACAATACGGCTCAATGGTCTAGTCGTATGATTCCTGCTTTGGGTTTTCAAGCCTATTCTGCAGGAGGTCCCGGGTGTAAGTTCTTACCCATCCAGATTCATGAACTGAACACAGTTTCTAATAGCGTTTCAGTCAAATCCCGGTTGAGCCCAAATACCTTCTTTTTGCTTTTTAGGTACAACGAGGGAGTGTACAAAGGGCAGAGCCATGCTCTTAGAACCTCCACTAGCAATGCTTGGTAACGTTTTGACACATATTTTTTTTTAAAGAAACGACATTCTCTATGTTTGCCATTAAGGCGACGAAATCATAATGCTAAGATCAAAAAGTGATTTAATGCGTGAGACAATATTAATATGATAATTCAAGAAAGGGAATAGGAAAACTGATCCAACAACGAGGTATCATGCCCAAACAATAAAAACAGTTGACTCAGCCCCAAGAACCCCGAATTCGAAAGGCAAAGTATGAACAATCATCAATCACATGGTATCCCGTCTCCAAGCCGCAAACGCTCGTCTATCAATCTCAACGCAATAGCAATCGAACATGATAACCAAGCTCATCGCGGCGTCTGCGGCCACTCAATCTGCAAGCCTCTGGAGCGATCAATCTCAAGCCCCGCCCGCTCATCTCTCCTTACACTCTCGCCCATAACGACCGTGGCAAGGCGCTGCAGTACATCTTCGCCGGAGATCCAGTCACCTCGCCTACCGGGCGCGCATTCACCTATTTCTAGTTTCCTGCCTGTAACTTGTTCGTACTCGACTTCGCTCTTGAGGTTCATCAGGTCCATGAAGACGCTACAAAGCACGACGAGTTCGGCAGTCATGACCATGCTGTAGCCCCAAGCATGGAATACGGCACCGACGTAGGGTAGGTTGCCGTTGTCGGCGAGGAAGCGGCGGAGGAGGTAGCCGTTTGTGGTTGATAGTGGGGTGGGAGGAACGTTAAAAGGACAAAAGAGTGCGGGATGTTTGAGGTGTGTTGTGTATAGTTTATCAAGGGCTTTATAATGTGTTCGTGTCCAAGGCTCGACTTTTGGTAATGGTGTCATGCGTGAGAGGATAGGGTGTGGTTGTAGTTGAGATGAGCGCGAGGATGTTGGCTTGGCGCTCAATGTTGCGGCAGGCTGCGCACGGAGTTGGGGATGGCCACTGGGGGTGACATCTGATTCCTCCTCCTCTTCTCCTTCTTCTTCTTCCTCATCGTCGCTAGAACCAGTTTCAGACGACAGTTCAATCACTTCCGGTTCCTTAGAACGTGCTGCATTCTGCCGTGATTGTGGCACGGGTACATTGCTTGGGCGCTCTACTGTCTTGGAAAGTGGCGAAGGCTTTCGTGCAGAAAGCAACCGCTGTTCGAACCGTCTTTGCATCTTTGGTGGACTCGATGGCAGGTGACTAATTTCTTGATGTGTTCTGCTAGGCTCGGTAACCTCTGTAATTTCATTTAGACTTCGCTCTTGTGGTTCATAGGCGTCCAGGTACTCGTTGGCCTCTTCGCGCACACGTATAATGGTGGAAGCAGTATTTCCTTCCATCTCCATTCGGAATTGTTGTTGGTCAGATGCTGCTGAGATTTTGCTGTCACCATCGACAACCGTGTGGAATGGCGAGCTTTGCGCGAGTGGCAACGTAGACTCTTCATACTGCTGCACGGAGCTCGTAGAAATGTCTCCACTGTGAAGCTCCCGCCTCAAAGGACTGCTCTTCTTTGGCGAGTTCAGGAGTGCAGGGAAGCGAGGTGGCGTATCCAAGAACGGATTGAGTGCCGCTTTGGGAGGTGTCTTTTTCGTTTTTACGGGAGAAGGAGATTCTGGCACAAAACTGTCCCCCTGGTCAAGAAGCTCAGAGAGACTCACCTTCTCTGCTTCTTGTCTTCTTGGCCGCCGCCTCTGAAACCGAGAAGGCCGCTTCTGGTCCGCAACTTGAGGCACGTTCGACCTGAAGAACATGCCAGCGTCACTTTCTTCCCCTTCAGCGTTTGGCTCTTCGACTTGCACAAGCTGCTCATCGGGTTGTGCGGAATCAACCTTTTGGGCCTCTTTAGTGCTCTCTGATTGTTGGACAGCTGCTGGCCCTGAGCGCGCTGAGGCAGGCTCTTGCTGGGACTCCGTCTCATCAATTACTTTTCTGCGGCGCCAAGTCCGGGGAGCTCTGCCGCGAGCAGGTCTGACAACACTGGCGTCTGTGAAGAGATCATGAGCCTCAGGGGACTTATCTGCTGGAACTTCCTCTGGGTTTATCGAGATCACTGAGCGACTAGCCTCCTCTTGCCAGATATCGCCAAAGTCATCTTGTTGGCCTGGCTCTTCTGCAGGACCGGGAACCTGATCTTGAACCTCATTCATGGCGGTGTCTTGTTGATCTTGGCTTTTGGATGCGCGGGGTGGAGTGTCGGTTCGCCAACTCATTGCAGATTCGCTCCTCGCAGGGCTCAAAGGTGCTGTGGTCACCTCTTCAACATCCAACGCTGGGTATTGGACGTCGCCTGTTACAACCGCTGGTGCCACTGTTGTGACAACATGATCCTGATCTTCGGGTGTGAGAAGACGCGATTGCTGATATTTTCGTTGCGTTCGGAACACACCTGCTTTCGGCCCTGCCGCAGAGGGGCCCCTGATAGGGCTCGAGGGGCCGGGCACATTGTCCTCCTCTGTCTGGTTCTGTGCAAGTTGCTCGCCAAGTCGCAAGCCTGCCTGAAGATCTTTACGTGTCCCTGAGCTGAAGCCACGGAACAAATCGTCCAATGAGCCTCGCTTTCCATCAGGCGTCTTCTGTGAGGCATCTGGGGTAAGTCGTGCGGGGTCGAGAAGGCCTTGTAAAGCTACACCGGCGGTGACTGCTCGCCCAAGTGTCGGAGATGGAGATTTGGTCAGAGCAG